ACACAGCTAGGAAGTGTCTGAGGCCAGATTTGAACTCGGGAAGATGAGTCTTCCTGACTCCCGGCACTCTATCCGCTACATCATCTAGCTGCCCAAACTGCAAGTTCTATGGGAGTGGAGGATCACTTTGTTATATTCATTCTCTCCCTTTCTCTCTCTCTCTCTCTCTCTCTCTTCTTTTAGGACCATTGAAGCCTGAAACGACTATAACCTACATTGCTGTTTCAGCCATATTCTTTAACAGTGGACTGTCACTAAAAACAGAGGTATTGTCAACAAAGAGGGGACTTGAAAATGAGGAGTCAGGAAAATGTAACCTTAGTCATCTGTTTGGCCATTGAGTAAACCTGTCTGTAGTTGGAAGTCTATAATCGTAACAGCAATAATAAATATCTCTCATTTAAGGAGTGTTTGTGAAGAGCTTTACCTTCCTTATCTCACTTACTGGATCCTCACAACAGTGCATAGCCACTACAAGTCTTACAGTGTCCATACTCCCAATGGACAGAAGAGTATCCAAGCTTGACTCCATGGTGCCTTATTGTGAAGTGTCATGCTTCAGTATTAGTGAAGATAATCTGTGGTAGCCCCTCATCTTGGATCCTAGCAAAGGGGGCTGAATTACCGAATGTTCTAGGAGGCCTGTGGGATGGTAGTCTTTTCATTGGATTTATTTTGAGTATAATCAATGGAGCAACAGGACTAAAGATATCCTGGGCCCTTGCTCACCTTATGATTAGAACTGCCTTCTAATCACAGCCCTTGCAAAGAGCTAAGAGTTTTAGCATGTTTGAGCTGCTATGTGCAGGTCCCTGTAACTCTCCTAGACTGTTTGTCTGGACTCAAGCTGTTTAAGTGGTGCTCGTTACAACTGACATTTTAACCCCTGGACCCTGGATTTGGAGTGGGAAGGACCTTAGAGGTCATTTAGTTCACTTTATAGGTTTTCCCTGGACTCACCACTAGCATACTTGTGGAGCTATGTTTCTAAACGCTAGTCCATGTTTTAAGATAAATAGACAAATAAACGATTATATTTTCTTGTCATTGTTCAGTCTTGTCTGACTCTTTGTGACCTCATTTGGGGTTTTCTTGGCAGAGATGCTGGAGTGGTTTGCCGTCTCCTCCATCTGTTTTACAGATGAGAAAACTGAGACAAACGAGAGGCCAGATTTGAACTCGGGTCTTTCTGACTCCAGGTCCAGCGTTTTACCTAGTGAGCCACCCAGCTGTCCCAAATGAATATATATATATATATATATATATATATATATCTGTGTCTATATGTGTAGAGAGAGAGGCAGCATGGAAAAATGGTTAGAATGCTGGGTTTAGCAGTTGGAAGACCTGTTTCAGACAGTTACTCACTCACTGTGTGTGCCTAAATGAGACATTTGCCCTCTGCCTTAGGCAAGTCTTGGGGGGAATAGAGAATAGAGTGTTGGACGTGGAGTTGGGAATGCTTGGGTTCTAATCCTACCTCTGATACTTATGAACAGTGTAACCCTCTAATCCTCAGTTTTGTTATGAAGTGCTCTCTGACCATGCACTAGTTATTATCTAATCTTCATGTATAAAATGAGAATCGGGAAGTAGATGCCCGAGGTCCCTTTCAGCTCTAAGTGTGGGATTCTCCTAAGTTATAAATGAGTTGTTATCTGCCTGGGCAGAGGGAGGTTCCCGAAGATACTGTCTGTATTCGTGTGTCTTCCTTATTTTTAGCCCATGTTAAGTCACAGCCCATTATCTAACAGGTAATAGATTGCTTCCTGGTGATCTAGTATTTCTGGGCAAAGAAGTCTCTAAATGTGAAGGTGACAAGAGATTTTTGAGTCAGAAAGAAGAGTCTATACTTGAAGGGGGTAAAAATCTGAACAATAGAGAAAATTTGCTCTTGAAGAAATAGTTAAGAGCAATTGTTCTGTTATAAATCGGTGAACTTAGGAAGCTCCTACTATGTGTTAGAGCAACTAGCTGGCGATGTGGATAGAGCGCCAAGCCTGTAGTCAGGATGCTCATGTTTGTGAATTCAAATCTGGCCTCAGACACTTCCTAGCTGTGTCACCCTGGGCAAGTCATTTAAACCTGTTGGCCTCAGTTTCCTCATCTGTAAAATGAGCTGGAGTAGGAAATGGCAAACCACTCTAGTATCTTTGCCAAGAAAATCCCAAATGGGGTCACAAAAAGTCAAGCACAACTGAAAAATGACTCAACAACAATATCAACAACTATGTATTAGGTATTGAGTCCCTGCCCTCAAGTAGTTTATGTTCATTTGGGGGAGACAACATATATAAGGAGATACAAAGTAAATATAGGATATATAGAAGGTAATTTTGGGAAGGGGGAGATCAGGAAAGGCCTCGTCAAAGGTGATGACTGAGCTGAGATTTGAAGGAAATACCGGCACTTTTGAGGGCTATTCTCTTGGTTCCAGAATCTGGGGCACTGGGACGTAAGAGAAAGTCATTGGCCACCAGAGTGGCACTGTAGTGATCTTGCTCTGAGCTCTCTCTTCCTGCCCTGGCTAATCCGGGTTTGCAGAGCCCCCTCCTCCGACCCAAGGTTTTGCCCTAAAATGCATCCCCTGCTGCCTGGTTAATAATATAGCTGCCATATTTAGTGGCTAGAGCACTGGGCGTAGAGTCAGGAAGACGGGTTCCAGTCTGGCCGCAGATACTTACTAGCTATGTGACCCAGGGCAAGTCACTTAACTGCTGTTTACCTCAGTTTTCCCATCTGTAAAATGTGGATAATAAATAACATCTACCCCCCCCACCCCCACCCCAGGGTAATTGTGAGGATCAAATGGTCTGTGGGTAGGAGACACTCAAGAAACCCTGGCTGGCTTGACTGCTTCAAAGCACGGGTCCCCTCAGAGCTTGTTTGCATTGGCTGCTCTACTTCTGTTAATTACAGGATGAGCCAGCGGATTCCATTCTCAGTCTCTGTGTATGTAAAACAGGGATAATAATAGTGTCAACCTCCCAGGGTAGTTGTGAGGATCAGATGAAGCTAACACATATAAAGTACTTCGCAAACCTTAATATATATATATAGATATAGATATATAGATATATCTATATATCTATATATATATCTATGTATATCTATATATGTATATATATGTATACACATATACATACACACATATATACATATATGCTAACTATTATTAATAAAATTTTGTATTTTACAGATTTTTTTTAAATATATGAAATTTCATTTTATTCTCTTGATTATATAAAATGGGTATGGAAAATATCTGACATTGGGATACTGTGGCAATCTTGAAAATGCTTCAACCTCCATGGATGTTTCTAGGTCCAAGAAGTAGTGCCATGGACCGCCATGAATCAGTGACTTGGTAAACATCATGCTGGTCACCATATTGTTTCACTTCCTTGGCATGGGTCCCAAGGCACAACTTAGATTCATTTTACTGGTATGTATAAAATACCCAGGGGAGTTCACTTGAATGAAATTGATTCCCAAGACGAATGAGAACTTGTGTCCTTTGGATCTTCTCTGAAGTAGGGGTTGGGAGCTTTGATCAGGTCTAGAGATGTCTCTGGTCTTCTCTTTGAATAATAGTTATTATTATGATTAATGACGATAGTGATTTTTATAGCATTTTAAGGTTTGCAAAGTGCTTTTCACATTATCTCATTTGAACAACAACGACAATGTAATAACAACTCATTTTTCTATAGTACCTTTAAGGCTTGCAAAGCACTTTGCATATGTCATCTCATTGGATTCTCGTAATAACCCTGTGAGATATATGCTGTTATTATCCTCATTTTACAGATAAGTCACCCAGGATAACAGTTAATAACTACCTGAAGGAAAATTGGAACGCAGGTCTTCCTAATTCCTAGTCAGGCACTGACTTCAGGTTGGTTGGTGGGATGGGTGTCAGATGGAAATTCGGCTCTATTCTGGTAAGATTCACAGGGCCTGGTTTCCCAGGGGTCCTTCCTTTAATGAAGCCAGGCTGAAGCTCCTAGGAACCTTGAGAAACTGAATAATAAATAAACCTTACTGTGGCTAATATCAGGTTTTAGTGATTGCATCTTAGACCCATTTCCCCTCCTTCCCTCCTTTCCAGTGAGGGGGAAGCTACTGCTTTTGAGTAAATCTAATTGTTAGGATTTTTTGGGTAATGTAATCCTGAGCTCATCTTCCTCCCAGAGTCATTTACCATGGTGACTTACCTAAATGGAAGAAAGTCCTGTACGGACCTGGAGGGAGTCCTCAGACAACAGAAATGCCATCTGTCTGCCTAGAACCAGAATATTGGCAATAGGGTGATTTGTTTTCCATCATAGCAACTTACTGAGAGGTCTGCTGATGCCATAGAAGGGCTGTAAATTCTCTCAATTGATGCAAATGAATGTGTCATCAATGCATTGTTTGAAGTGAGTATTTATTTGAATGGAAAGAAGAGCCATAGAATTAGTGTAGTATTGGGCAGGGAGTCAGATGACCTGGGTTTGGTTTTTAATACTTGCTAGCCGTGTGGTTGCAGGCAGTTGATTTTCTCTCTGTTATCCTCAGTTTTCTCATCTGCAAAATGGAATGGCCATATTTGCTCTGTCTTCCATAGAAGTTTGGATATTTGAACCTTGAATTATTTTAATGGGTGACTCTGCTTCTTTATGTGTGAAATTCACAGTATATTTGTGTTTTGATTTCATTTATCTTTTTCATTGGTTTTTATTTTAAAAAAATCATTACCAAATATTATAAAAATATTACTGATTTTTTGAATTAACTGAAGGTGAGGTAGGGCAGGGGAAAGGCCAGTTTGAATTATTGACCACTAATGGAGGTTCTTAACCTGGGATCTATGGATCCCCAGGGTTCAGTGGATAAAATTCACAGGGTCAGTGAACTTGAATGGGAAAAAAAAATTACACCCTTATTTCTACTAACTTCTAACTGAAATATAGTATTTCCTTCAATTACTTAAAAACATGATTATGAGGAGAGGGTCCATAGGCTTCACCAGATTGCTCAAGGGGTCTGTGGAAGAGAAAAGGTTAAGAAGCCCTGGTCTAGAAGAAAGGTGGCCGTTAGTACTGGGTAGATTCTCAAATAGACTAGAACTTGCCTTGGAACTGGACTGGACTGGAATCCCACAGCTTGAAAAAATCTGAATGGGTTGTGGTCCAGGTGTACTAATACAGATGTAATTATTGAGCCATCAAGCTATGTAAACATTTTGAAGAAGATTCAGCAATGTACACCAGTGACAAACTGTATAATTACTGGCTTGTAGGGAAGTCAGTTTCAATGACTCGATTTTTTGCAAATTGGTACTCGTAACATGTTTAAAAGAATTCAAAGCATTAAGAAAATGTAGTTCCTCCCTTCTGTGCTGGGGGTTGGTGGTAGACTTTGGCTGAGGAATCTTGTATATACTGTTAGGTTTGGTTGATTCGAAAGTTAGTTTGCTGAACTACTTCCTTCCCCCTCTTTTTCTCTTTTATTCTTTATTACAAAGAATGACTTTCTGGATGGGGGAAAGGAGAGAGGTATATTTGGAAACAAAGGTGATATAAAATCAAAAGGTAGCAATAAAAATTAAAGGCTTCAGAAAAAAAAGTTCTCCCTCAGGTAGGTTAAAAAGGCATCCTGCAAACTTTTTTATAGTAGTATTTTGCCTAATACACCCTTTTCTTATAGATTAGCAAAGGTAAAAAGCTCTTCCGTAGTCTAAATTAAGTTGGTTGTATTTCAAGATAAATCAGGCTATTTTTAGTAGTTTAAATTAAAATACCTTATAAGCACTATAAGGGATATTTTCTCCTTTTAAAGTTTTATCTATTATGATTTATTATTTTATATAAAAATGAGTTACAAATAAATACCAAAATAAAGTAACTGGGTTTAGTGGTCTTTCTGTAGATATCTCTCTTCCAAATTATGTTAAGATGTGTTTTTTATTTTTTTTCCAGGAGCTGACTAGTGCTTTGATGCATGTAAAATTACATCTTTTTGTTCAGATCTTTACACTTGCCTTCTTCCCAACAACAATATGGCTTTTTCTTCAGTTGCTCTCAGTTACACCCATCAACGAATGGCTTTTAAAAGGGTATGTTGAAAAAAAACCGCAATGCGTATTTGAAAATGGTTATTTTTGAGTGGGTGGGGAAGCTGAGGAGAATTCATTTCAAACCATTTTTTTTTGTGTGTTTTAAAACATATGTAGGAGTTTATCCATAGAACAGATATTTATTTTCTTCAGTGAATTGTTCCCTTCTGTGCTAACCGGTTGTGTTAACAAAGGTCTCATTTTTCCCCCTAAAGTTTGAAAATGTCGCCCCAGATTTAAAGATTGGAATGTTGACTTAAATGCATTTTTGGGGAAAGTGTTTAAAATAAATTGTGTTTTCAGGTCATGGAAGGAATAAATGGAAGGAAAAAAATTGAACTAGAGTGAGGAGGCTTCAGACCCAGTGCTGCTGCTGGTGACTTGCTTTGACTTTGGGGGAATTGCTTACTGTTGTGGGTGTGTTTCCTCAGTAGTAAAATAGGGATAATCATTATTTACTTACAGGTTTTTTTTCTTTTTGTAAGGCTAAAATTCAACTTGAAAAATATTAAGTGGTATTTGAAAATATTTATTGGTTTGGCTCAACAAATAAAGTTTATATAGTACTTTAAATTTTATACAGTGATTTCCTTACAACAACCCTCAAGATAGATAGTGCAAGCCCATTTTACAGACTAAGAAACTGAGAGCTTAAGTGACTTGTAGGTGACTTAGTCGCTTGTAGGTGATCACACAGCTAATAAGCTTTTAAGGCAGGATTTAAACATGTCTCTTGCCAACTCTTAGGTCTAGTCATGCTACTCTCAAGTAATCTGCAAATATTTATTGTGAACCGCACTATATTTGGGATGCTAATATCCCCCATTATTATAAAGAATAATAGCTTGTAGTCTAACTAGGGAAGCAGTTTATTTGTATATGTAAAAATGATATAAGAAGACATTACGTGGGGCAGTATCCCAAACTAGACCTTCTTGACAGTATAGTTGTAAAGTATGATATTCTTTCCCCCTTAACCCTCACCTGAATTTCAAGCATATTATTCTAATTGCTTATCGTGTGCTATTTTCTGATTTTAGTCAAGAAATTGAAACTCAGCATTGTGCTTTGGGACGTTATGTACTATATGTTACAGGCTTCAGTTCATGCGTTTATCTGAATCATTACCTGTGACCATGCCCTGCTCTCCCCAGAAAAAGATAATGAGCAAAATGTATTGATCTCCAGAAATGTTTACTTTGATTGTGTCTTCAAAATTAAAAGTCTTAATATTTCTCTGTTTTCATTTTTACCTCATAACATTTATTTCGTAGTCATTTTCAGCTCAATATTTTAAAAAGCAAACAAAAAAGGTGATTTTTGTTACAAGTTCTTTTGGGCAGGGGGAGACGGGTATGTATGTGTGTGTGTATGTGTGTCTCTGTGTGTGTGTGAAAAGCAGTATCTAACGTTCCCTAGAGAGCAATTAGGCAATTCTACATTTTTGGACCTTCACACTTAAGTTTGGAAATACTAGTGGCGTCCTGTATATTCTGCCTCCTGGCTCTGTTTCTTACAGTCCTTCGAGAAAAACTTGTGGTACTGTGATGTTAGTAACTTTATGATTGTAACATCTGCAATACTTTTAAAAATAGAGTGATGGTCTGAGTATGGATGAGGCCATAGGAGTCCTTAACTTATGAGATGGAAAAGTGATAACTTTTGACGCCAAAGTACGTGATAAGTATGTGGAATAATACCCTTAATTCAGGCACTGAAAATTAAAAAAAAAATTGAAAGTAAGCTATCTGTCCTTTGTAATTATATGGTAGAGAGAGTCTTGCTTATAAATTCCTTTTAACAGAACGATAGAAAAATAATAGGTTTCTGCCTGAAATGATGTGACTAGAAGTAATATTAATGGATTACACTCACTACCACAGTCATTTTCTTCTGTATTGTGGTAGGTTGTTGTAATTATATAACAAGTAACATTCACATAGCCTAATACAAGGGTTGGAAGACTGCCCTCCAGGTCCTCAAGTGTGGCCCTTTGAATCCAGTTTGGATTCAGTCAAAGGGCCGCCCTTGAGGATGAAGAGGGCCACATGTGGCCTTGAGGCCTTAGGTTCCCCACTCCTGTAAGGGTACTACCTATTTCTTATAAAGGCTATTCTAAAAATCTTAGTGCTGTTTTAAGCTTTTAAAAGCTGTGTAAAAACGACTTTTGAAACACCCTGTATTTTATATTCCTTAAGTTGGAGAAGTCAAGTCAGCAGGCATTTATTAAGTGTCTGCTATGTGGCTGGCACTATGCTAAGCCCTGAGGATAAAAAAAGGGCAAAAAAAGTCCCTGCTTTCAAGGAAATTACATTCTAATGGGAGAAACAACATTCATACAACTCTGGACAAAGAAGATGCGGATGAGATAAAGGAGAGTGATCTTTGAGGGACGGCACTAAAGTTTGGGAGAACTGAGAAGGGCTTCTGGCAGAAGGCGGGACTTTGGCCGGGGCATGAAGGAAGCCAGGGAAATTAGGAGATAGGAATGAGGAGGAAGAGAGTTCCAGCCACAGGGGGCGGCTAGTGAAGATAGATGGAGGATCTTGTGGGAGGTTCTAGCGTAGAGGTTAGTGTCATTGGATAACAGGGGAGAAAGGTGTAAGATGATTGGAAAAGTATGGATTGACCAGGGCCCTTGTTGTTGTTGTTTAGTCATTTTTCAGTTGTGTCCAACTCATTTGGGATTTTCTTGGCAAAGATACTGGAGTGGTTTGCCATTTCCTTCTCCAGCTCATTTTACAGATTAGGAGACTGAGACAGACAGGGTTAAGTGACTTGCCCAGGATCACACAGCTAGTATGTGTCAGAGGCTGGAGTTGAACTGACAAAGATGAGCCTTCCACATTTGAGGCCCAGTGCTCTATCCGTTTTACCACCTAGCTGCCCCAAAGGGTTAGTTAGTCAATCTGTATTAAATGCCTATTATGTACCAGGCACTGTGCTAAATAAACGCTCGGGATACGAAGAAAGACAAAAGACTGCCTTTGCTTTCCAGGTTCATAGTCTGCTGAGGGAGACAACGTGCAAACGATCATACACAAACAAGCCATGTACAGTACAGGATATATTGTAGACAGTCAGGGAGAAGGCACCAGAATTAAGGGGCAACAGGAGAGGCTTCGTGCAGAAAGCGGGATTTTTGTTGGGACTTGAAGGAAGCCAGGGAAGCCCGGAGGGTAGAGGTGGGGAAGAAGAGAATTCCAGGAGTGGGAGACAGCTGGTGAAAATACCTGGAGGTGAAGTGTCTTGTTCAAGGAACATCAAGGTGGTCAGTGTCACTGGATTGCAGAGTATGTGAGCGGGAATAAGGTACGGGAAGACTGGCAAGGCTCGAGGAGTGGGTTATGGGGGAGCCTGAAAAGCCAAATGGAGGATTTTATGTCAGATCCTGGAGGTAATAGGGAGCTAGTAGAGACTCACGAGGAGGGGGGATGACATGGTCAGATGGCCTCCTTCAAGGTCTCTTTTTGGGTCCTGCTAGATGTCCCTGTCTTACAGGAGAAGTGTCTTTTTCCTCATGGCCTATCCTTCTACCTGTTCTCCCCTTCCTCTTGGCTTTTTTCAGGACTTTTCTCTTTGTTCTCGCTTCCTTCATTATGATCTTTAACCTTACTTCCTCCACTGGCTCCTCCTTCTCTGCAGAATAGCCTGTGATCCTCATCTTGAAAAAAGTTTTCCCCTCTTGGCTGCCATCCTATATCACGTAACTGTACGGTCATAGATTTAAAGCTGGAAAGGACATGGAGGCTGTCCCCCCCATCATGTGAGGACATTGAGGCCCAGTGTGGATGGATGACTCTCTCTCTCATCCTCCCAGGCTTCTTTAGTGCCTGATTTATTTCCACTGCCTCATTTCCTCAGATCATAGTCCCACCAAGCAGTTTGGCCTCTACCCCACCTCTCTATTGGAGCTTTCTCAAAGGTTACCTTTGGATCTCAAAACCCAATGGTCTTTCCCTTCCTTTTCCTCCTCCTTGCCTTCTCTGGGACATGCCGCACTATTGAACCACCCTCTCCTTCTCAGAATACTTTTTCTCCCTTACGTTTTCAGACTCGATAAAATTTAACCTGAAGTTTTTACCTCATTTAAAACTCTATGGAGGATACGACCCAGAGAGGTCAGTTACATTTAGCTTGAGTTGTGCTGCAAAATCTTTCTTGACTGATTTTCTTTTAAACTGTGTGATGCTTTTAATATCGTTTCAAAGAAGTGAAAGAATTACTTTTAATGCTCAAAATTGCCCAAGGTGTAGAGTCATACACATTTGTGCTAGTCCTGGGAGAAAATTCTGAGCTTATGTATGTGGGGTTTCTTGTTCAGCCCTTCGAGGCCTGCTGCCCAACATGGAGGTCAAGCAGCTACAAGTTTGTTTCACAGTGGAGAGAATGTTGGATTTGGTACCAGGAACACCTGCATTCAAATCCCACCTCTGACACTTCCTGGCTGAATAAGTCACTTAAATTATCTCTGCCTTGGTTTCCAAATCTGTAAACCAGACACTTTGCAAACCTTAAAACAGTATGTAAGTGCTAGCATCATCCTCATCTAAAGTCACCAGGGTTTGAATATACATTCACATTTCTATATTTTCATTTGCTCAGCTCTTAATCCAGTTGAGTGGATGAAGTAAAAACGTTATTTACATGTTATTTTATATTTTATTTTTCAGTTTACAAACAGTTGGTTGCATGCCGCCTCCTGTTTCTTCTGCAGTGATCTTAACCAAAGCTGTTGGTGGGAATGAGGTGAGTCCTGGGGCTAACTTATTTTAAAAATAAAATGGTTACTCCTTGTCAATACATATTTTCACAGAATCTCAGAGTTGGAAATGACATGAGGTGCCACCTTGTCCAATTGTCCAACATAGGTTCCCAAAGTGGGTGATACTGCCCCCTGAGGGGCACTGAATGATCCAGGGAGGTGGTAGTAGCCTCAGGTGCAGTTGGGGGGAATGGAATAAAAATAAGGGGGGTGGTGGAAGCATAAGAAAAGAAGAGAAGATAGGGAAACTTTGAAAAGCCATTTGTACATGTTTCATCTGTTATGTAACAGAGTTCAAGTCAGAGTGATTACATTATTTTCCAAATAAACACAAAAAATTCAAGTTATAACTTATCAGTGGTCAAATCTACTGACAGGTCTTAACAAGCAAGAGTTGGCAGGTGAGCATATGATGCATTGTCAGGAAGTCCAGCATGCAGCTGCAGGAATATGTGCGTGTAATGACTTGTTTACAATGTGATACTGTATGGGTACATGACGCAGTATTGCATCATCAAAATTTCAATGCAGAATAAACCTACAAATTTATAATAAATCATTAAATTTAAGATACATCATGTTTTTAAAAAATATGTTTTATTTTTTTGAAATGATGCAAATTTCAACCAAAAAAAAAAAAAAAACTTCTAAAGGGTAAATTTCCAGGGAGACACTGAGTAATTTTTTTTAAATGAGGTGGTAGGCCAAATGAGTTTGGGAACCTCTGAACTAGATCAAGTCCTCTCTAACACGTGCCTGACAAGCAATCATCCAACCTTTGTTTGAACACCTTCAGTGAGGGGGACCCTACTGTTTCTCAAGGCATCCAGAACGCTTTGTTGGAGTTCAGATTGTTAGGGAGTTTTTCTTTGCATCAAGAATTTTGCCTCTTTAAATCTTCTACTAATTTTTCCTCATTCTGCTCTTAAGGCTTATACTGCAGAGCTGGGGGTGGGATACAAAGGATGGACTGGAATTTAACATGGCAGATTTGTTTTCATTTCTTGTGAGAAAATAATTTATTGATATCTTTTTATAACATGTTCATGATTGAACATAATCCCTATGTAGCAAATTATGAAAGAAGTAGGTGCATATGATGCTGAAGTTGATTTTAAAGGGTAGAATCTAGGATTCATGAAAATTAAAGAAGGGAAATGGACAAATTAAGGATGATTTCCTGATATTCGATGAAGTAGTATAATAGATCCAAGAAATTTAGTAACAAAGGAGCCCAATGGAACTGGATTTTCTTCACCTCTAAGGCCACAAGCAAAAACTAACCTGTTTTGTAATGAAATTGGAAGAAACTAGGGTGACTAAAGGGGACAGAATAATCAAACAGCACTAAAAGTTGTTGGAGTGATTTCCAAAGGGAAAATTAGGGAATTTTTCCTAAAAAGAACTATTGTAAGCTTGGGGAAAATCATCAGAACAAATCTGGAATGAAATCGAAGGCTGTGTCTTTGTCACACAGACATTTGCAAGATGACTCAAGGTTTGGGTTTAAATGATTTTAAATGAATCTGGTTCTCTCCCTCACCTGTGTAGGGCCCCCCCTTTGTTGATACAGCTCATATCCCCGTGAACCTTTGCAGATGATTTAGTGAGTTGCTAGAGCCCCAAAATTTCAGCGTGTGGTAGCCCAAGGTCATGGGTCTTCCTGAACCTCATTAGGTTTGTCCTTTAGTGACAGACACAAAAGCAAAAGTCATTAACAATTAAAAAAAATTCTGCAGGGTGACTTCAGCCCTTCTAGGACACCCTAGAATCTTGTGTCAGGGTGGGGGAGCTGTGGCCTCAAGGCCACTTGTGGCTGTTGAGGTCCTTGGGTGCGGTCTTTTGACTGACTCCAGATTTTACAGAACAAATCATTTTATGAAGGGGATTTGTTCTGTGAAGTTTGGATTCAGTCAGAGGGCTGCACTTGAGGACCTAGAGGGCCACATGTCACCTCGAGGCCGCAGGTTCCCCACCCCTGATCTAAGTTGATCTTCACACCTTGCCCATGAACCAAAATTGGTTCAGTCACAGTGCATACTGGAAAGTAGGAGTGGCAGAAGAAGCAGTGAAATACAGTATCTTAGGTGTTTGAAATGAAAAAAAAATTACCTTGTTTTAAGTCACCAACACATTATTGATCAGAGGTTTGCGACCAATAGAGTGTGTAGTTGGACCGACCTCTTTATACCATCCTCAACCATTTGGATTCCTGCTGTGGAGACAGACATAGCCGTGATGCCCCAGGGACACAAATGACAATGGGAAAATATGCTTTAGTTCTATCAAGCTTAAGAGGGGGGACAAAGGAAATTATTTCTTTATTAGATGGAGAAAGAGAACCAATAACAGATGGCAAATACTTTTATAAAAAAGTCAATTGTAATTTGATAACCAGATCAAGCAGCACAAGGGATTGGAGATAGACTAGGAAGAAATACGCCCAAGGTTCCATAGTTGGTTCTCTTTTTATTTCCTTTCTCCTGCTTTCCTTTCCTCCCCTTTCCTCTCTTCTTTTCTTTCTTTCTTTTTTTTTTTTAAACATGTAGAGTTTTGTGTGCTGGCTGGTTTATATAGAGTGGTATAGGAGGAAATGCTGTACTTATTTGCTATACAGTTGAAGTAAATTAGACAAAATAATGGGGCTAAGCCTCACTTTAATTAGTGCAATGTTTAAATTAGGAAATATTTGCAAATAAATTTTGGTTTGTTAGTATGTATGGACAACATCCATAGTCTTCATTTTCTTTCCTTTTTTTAAAAACTAAGTTCTGTTTTAAAAGTTGTTTTGTAAATTATTTTGGATTTAGAACACATTTCTCATAAAAGTAGTATTTAAAATGGTGGATGAGTTTTGAGGCCAGCCTTTTCTATCCTATTTAGTCCATAATATAGCAGAACTATAGTTTTGCCTGTGTTCTGAGTTTGGGAAGTGGAAAGCCATTCAGTGCAAGAGGAGAAAAGGGGAGAAAAAAGCAAACTGCCTTATTTCTTGGCTCTGTGCCAGTCTTCAGCAAAATTTGAAATGTTCAGAGTTTATCTTTGGTTCCATCTTCTGATGTTTGAGACTTAGAAGCTCACATGTACATGAATGAAAAATTAAACATAATCATGATTAAAAGCCAAATGATTGGTATAGGAAATAGGTACTATTTTGGGGTGCTGGGGTGGTCAAGAAAGGATTCATATATGTTGCAGTAGTTGATCTGGGGCTTGAAGCATAGGTAGGATTTGGTCTGTGAAGAAATGGCAAGGTAAATAGAGAGCATGAAAGAATATTCTGGCTGAGCAGGGCAGGTCTGTAGAACCCTCTGTCTGGCTCACATGAAAGATCTGTGTTGAGAAATACCGGTAGTAAGCTTGGAAAATTCATTTGGCCCCAAATTGCATAAGACTGTGAGTGCCAGGCTCGGGAATTTGAGTTGTATCCTGTTAATTGGTTATGGGAAAAGATGAGATCCCAGGATATCTTTATTTTTATAAGTCTTTTAGTTTTTATCTCTTGTGATATGGCCGTTTACATTCTAGCAAAGTGTGATCTACTTGGATTATTCTCCTGGGAGGTCAATGTACAACTGCTCAAAAGGTTGGAAATGAAGAGTAATTATAGACAGTTCACTGTTAAGTGGGGAAACTTAGCCGATGATGCCCTATGGGGGAGGAGGGTCAGTTGTGAGGACTAATTAATTTTCTTAGATAATGGAGTAGAGAATGAGCTTTTAAAATACAGAGGTTTTGTCAACTTCCATGGAGGTTCCCTAGAATTTTAGAGAATATTAGAATTAGAGTGACCCTGGTCAATTTGGAGAAATATTTAGAAGTAAACAGGCTGGCTCTTAATTATAGAAAAATGAAAAATATTCATCTTTAGGAAAACATCATTTAAAATTACTATAACTGAAAATAAATAGAAAGTACTACTCATGACCATTTTTTATTTTGCATTGACTTTTAAAACATTTTTATTGATGTCTTTTTAAAATATAACCTGTATTTCTCAGTATATCCCTCCTCCTTTTCCCAGAGAGCCATCCCTTATAGCAGTGAATTGGAAAATAGAAAAAAAAAGTTCAGCAAAACTAACCAAATACATCAGCCAAGTCTGACATATGCAGTGTTCCATACCCCTAGTCCCCACAACTCTGCAGAGGTGGGGAGGAAGTCTGTGTTCATCATGTCTTTTCCTTGTGGCCAGATTTGGTCATTATGGTTTCACATCATGCAGTTTTAGTGGTTTTGTTCTTTCCATTCACATTGTTGTCATTGTAAATCTTTTTTCCTCCCTTGTTATTTTCACTTTCATGCATTACTTTAAAACATTTTAGATACCTTTGGCATTTTATGTCACACTAATTTCCTGAATTAAGAAAAACTAACAGATAAAATGGCCATGTCTGATGACAGCCTAATTTCCCTGCCTCTCTTCTAAGAGGAGGAAAGTGTGTTTCACCTCTGTTTTTTTAGTACCAAGATTGTTTATTGCAAGAGGTTCCCAAAGTGGGTGGTACTGCTCCCTAGGGACACTAGGGCAATGGTGGTGGTGGTAATAGCCCTGTGCATTTGGGGGCATTGAATAAAAATAAGGGGGTGGTGGAAGCATAAGGAAAGAAGAGAAGAAAAGAAAATTTTGGAAAACTTCATACATGTTTCATCTGTTGTGTAACAGAGTTAAAGTTGTAGTGATTACATTATTTTCCAAATAAACACACAAAATGGAAGTTAGAACTGCTCAGTGGTGAAGTCCGCTGACAGATCTTAAGCAGATGTTGGCAGGTGAGTGTGTGACGCATTGTTGGGAAGTCCAGCGCGCATTGGCAGGAATATGTGCATGTAATGACTTGTTTACAATACAGTACTATGTGGTTACATGATGTCATATTGTATCACCAAAATTTCAATGCAGGAAAAACCCCACAAAGTTAAAATAAATTATTAAATTTAAGATACATCGCTTAAAAAAATTACATTTTTTTTTGAAATGACA